ATAATGACATTACTTTTACAGATGGTGGTAAACCGTAAGCGTTTCCGGTACATCATGTCAGCACTTTGCTTTAGAAGTTCTAAGAGAATAGTTTTGTAATTCAAAGTTTGCCCATCACAGCAAACAATTACCGGCTACTGAAACCCATGGATAAAGTCATATCATTCACATAAAATAATATATATGTTAGCTGTTCAATTTCTGAAAAGAAAACACAGTTTTACCTTTCAAAATTAGGAGTGAAAATGATATAAAAAGTAATTACTATTTAATAAATTATCGTTACATACCTATAACTTGGATTTCCCTGCTTGCTTCATTGTACCTTAGTGTTACATTGTTATGTGCCTGACAAGTGTAATTTCCAGTGGCGTTCATAGAAATATTATTAATGATTATTTGTTGACCGTTTTGTTGAAGAGAGGCACCATTGTGAAACCACTGAAATTCAGAGGCTGGATTTGAGTCCGCGGAGCACAAGAACTTAACAGTTGTTCCTGAACTGTGTAATGTTTTATCCGGGATGATGGACACATTGGGTAATCCTGGTCCATCCAGAACAAATGCACATCATTTGTAACATCATATAAATCACAAGTCTAAAACTATCTAACGTACAGCCCATCACCAGCACTAAAGGTCACGATGAGCCTGAACACCAAAACTGTGCAAACAAAAGGAGACAGTTATTAATAAAACCTGTCTGTTATAATGTGTAATAATAATAATAGTTGTTTAATATATAAAATCAATTCTGTCCCCTGAAATTCCACTGAGGTATTATTTAGCATTTCAGAGCCAGCAGAAACTTTCCCAGTTTCTGTAGTTCAATGGACACAATTTAAGAATTTAATTCTATTTGCTGTGAAATAATATTACAATAGACAAGTCCAGACCCAAGGGGGGATTTCTACTCCTATATTTTAATTGAGTACCAATTTAGTAGGACTTTTTTCATTGTTCATCAATTCAATTATTATGGTATTTATTTCAGGAGTGGACCAGTGCTTTCACCTGTTGGTACAAATGAAAGTTTGTAGTGATTCAAACAGAATTCAAATCTAATACTTTTATAATGGTTTAGATTGAAATTCGTAATAAAAATAGTTTCATTTCAGAGTTTAATGCTGGATATTCTTTTACATTTTGGTGCTTTTATAAATTTTTGTTAAATCTGATCAAATTCAGTGTTTGTTAAAGGAATTGATTATTTGGTGTCCAAAATGGATACGGAGCGTATAATGTTTGCGGAAACAAATATTGCATAACATTAACTAAGATTATACAAATCATTTACAAAAATATAACATTGAAGCTGCTTTTACTGTGACACTTACAGTTGACATTGAGATAAAATGGATGGCTTGTGTCGTTACTAACGGTGTTGTAGGCCCAGTGCGTGTAATTCCCACTGTCAGCCCTCAGTACTCCAGCTATAGTCAGGGGTTTGTTATCCAGACTTAGGACAGTCCTGTTGTCAGAGCTGATAGTTTTATTGTCTTTCAACCATTGATATGACACGTCTGTCCCTGATGCAGTGCACGTCAGCCCCACAGTGTCATTATATTCTACTGACTGCGTGACATTGGGGGTAACAGTAATATTGGAAACAGATTCTGTCAAAACACAGGAGAGTATTTACATTCTGTGCATCACATTCTGTGTAAAATACAACAGTTTGTTGGAAACTCAAGTCACTTAAAACATTAGCAACAACAACTTGCATTTATACAGAGACTTTCCTGTGGGGCAGCGTCTCAGCGTTGGCAGAGTTTGAGGCTGAGACGGGGAGAAAGAGGAGGTGACCGTAGCACCGTCAAAGAGGAAAGCCTTCAGGTGGGATTTGAAGACGATTAACAACAACAACAACTTGCGCTCCTCACGTGGGGAAGCGTCCCGGAGCGCTTGGTGTAAAGAGGAAAGAGGAGCAAGGGGCGGAGAGGGTGAGGCCGGGAGTTCCAGGGGCTCAGGGCAAAGTGGCTGAAGGTGGAGCAGAGGGTCAGGGGATGTGCACAAGGCCTGAGCAAACCAAGCGAAAGGGCTGGGAAGAGGTGTGAGGTGTGAGCAAGTTGGAGAGGTCTCAGGCCATCAAGTGATTTGGCCATGAAACCTCAGTGATCGGTGTGTTCCTGTCGGCAACAACACGGCTCATCATAGAATCATAGAATCGTACAGCACAAAAAGAGGCCATTCAGCCCATCGAGTCTGTGCAGCTATTTGAAAAGAGCAATTAATGCCAATCCCACTCCCGGCCCTTTCCCCATAACCTTCAAACCTGTCCTCCTCAAATACCCGTCCACCGCGTTTTTAAAAGTAGTTATCGAATCGGCCTCGACCGCCCTTTCAGGCAATGTGTTCCAGATTCAAACAACTCGCTGTGTGAAAACATTTCTTCTCACCTCCCCTCGGCTTCTTTTAGAGACTATTTTGAATCTGTGACCTTGAGTCACCAACACACCCACCAGTGGAAACAGTTTTTCCCTTTCTAACCTATCAAATCCCCTCATGATTTTGAAAACGTCATCTAAAGGAAATAGATTCTTGTTTTTCATCCCAACCAAATGTGTACTTTCTGCATTTACAGCATTACAATATGATTCTGGTGTCAATATAAAATATTCCAAAACGGTACTTGTAACCAATTATTGTAGCCAATAACTGTCCATATCATCTTTATTAATCAGCAAGACCGCGAGCAACAACTTTCCTGCTGTGTTCACCAACAAATACCAACAACTTGCATTTAAATAGCGCCCTTCACACAGGGTAGCGTTTCGGAGTGCTTAACACATACCGTCAAAACAAGTTACAGTAAATCCACTTTGAGATAAACTCCTGAAATGAGAGATGCTGTATCAAATGTACAGATTATTCATTCTTCTTCTTTATTATTATTAATTATTATTATTCATTCGCCATCTTGGCTCACACTCGACTCTGAGTCAGAAGGTTGTGGGTTCAAGTCACATTGTCTATGATGACACTGCAATGCAGTGCTGAGGTTCTGTTGCACTTTCACTAACTCGCACCGAACCTCAAAGACCTTTTCCCATAACTGTCTATACAGTAATCTTTGTAATTTGATATAGTACCGTATCACATCATTGAGGATCTCAAAGTGCTTTGCAGGAGTTTACTGTAAAGTGCAGTGACTGTGTATTTGTCGGCAAACATAAGCCAATTTGCACATTGCGATGTTCCACAAACAGCCATTGAAGTGAATGAGTGATTTTATTAATGGATTGTTGGCCGGGACACCGGGAGAAACTCCCTTCTGGTTTTGAATCATGCGATGGGATCTTTGACATCACTTTATTAAACTTGTAATTGAAGGACAGTATCTCTGACATTAGAAGGACAGTACCCCATCATTGCATCACAGCAACAACAACTTGGATTTATATAGCACCATCCACGCCGGAAGGCGTCTCAGAGCCCTTTACAGTTTTGGATCCCGGGACCGAGCCGGGGGGCGCGGGCGGTGGGGGGGGGGGAAGGTGACCAAAGGCGCGGTCGAAAAGAAACGTCTTCAGAAGAGAGCTGAAAATGGGAAGGAAAGGAACGAGACGAAGGGAGACGAAGGGAGTGAGGAAGGCAGTTCCAGATCCTCGGGGCACAGTGGCTGAAGGCACGGCCGCCGAGGGTGGAGCGGAGGAAAGGTTTTGAAGTTCGGTGATGGGATTGTTTTAAGAAACGATGTGGGGAAGATAAAGAGCTGATATTCTGAAAGGATTAAACTGGACATTGGCACCACCTCCGTGTTTGGATAGTAAATAGTAAATCGCAGTGTCAGCCTCGACTGCAAATCCTGACGTGAGGATTAATCTCACAACCTTCTGATCACATAGAGATGTTGAATACTCTATGAAGCCATTCAGTCCATTGTTTTTATGTCAGTTTCTTTCTTCTCCAAGAAGCCATCCATCCTCATCCCAGTTCTCCTCCCTAACTCTCCAATCCCCTTTCCTCTGTGTGTGTTAGTGTAAATCTTTATTGTAAATACTCCTAATCAACTCGTGCTCAAGTCCTGTAGCTCAGTGGTTAGAGCACTCCCCTCGCGAGCGAGAGGACCCGGGTGGCTGACACATACCGACAAATACACAGTCACCACACTTTACAAGAATTCCTATGAAGCATTTTGAAATGCCTCAATGATGTGTTAAGACGTTATATTAAATGTAGTGGTTATTATTTTTTAGTATAACATCAGAACAACGTGGGCTGAATGGTCTCCTTATGTGCTGTAATATTCTCTGAGCAGTAGTGGAGGATGGACAAACACTGTGTTTTACTGTTTTGTTCACAATAATAATCCTTGCATTTGATACAGCGCCTTATCATGTCATTGTTCTTGACAGGATACCCTGTAAAATAAATATACGGGGTATTTTGTGGGTGAAACACAGAAGTCAATTTCCACAACAGTGTCCAACAAACAGTCGTTACCAGTTTTTTGGGAGGGAGAGGGATTAGTAATCTGGAAAGCGATCCGACAATCGACCAACAGGCGGGTTCCTACTTACTGCTCAGTAAACAGAGTGTGTGTGTGTGTGTGTGTGTGTGTGTGTATATGTGGTCAAGTGACCTAAAGTTTTGCCCCGTCAAACAATCAAATCCAGGTCCTCCAGTTTTGAGGGGAATGTGCTATGAATTCATGAATAATGTTCTTCTCGGGTGAGGTACAAGTGATCACAAGTGGTTATGAAACTGTATTCCAGTAGAATAGTTAAGTGCCTTCAGGACACGAGAGAAAATAGGAAAACAGCCCATACTGTATATCTATAGGGTAGAAACACTATTTCTCTGCTTTAAGCAGCTCAGTGACATGAAATGGAACCATCAGATCGGGAGCAGATTGTCCATTTGTCCGGATATAAAACATTTTGTGTGAAGATATTCATTTTAATTTTCTCCCCAAACTGGTGACGAGGTTAGTGGCCAATAACCCGGGACAGGAGTGGTACATAGACAGGTTATTGTTAACTGTAACTGTTACTTACCCTTCACCTTCAGGGTGACTGTCGCTGATTTTGAATCGCCAGAGACTGAGGTCAAACTCACAGTGTAATTTCCACTGTCGGTCACTGTCACTGATTTCAGCCGAAGAGACACGTCGGGGAGAGATAACTCAGCCCGGCCTTGGTAATTAGGGTTTACAGATACTGTATCCCCGATCCACTGAAGTTTTTCACTGCCGCCGATAACCCAGCTCCCGCTCCTCACCACACCAGACGGTGTCACTGTAAACACAGCCGTACCTCCGGCTGCTGCTGTAATGGGATTCTCTGGTACAGTGATGGTGAACTGTGCTGTAACTGGAGAGAGAGAAAATCCCATTAAGGACAGCGAGACATCGGCTGAATACACATCGACACAGTCCGTCCTGACTGACGGCATCTCTTGTAGGGACGCGGTGAGCAAGTTCTCCTGTCTCTATCGTTAGATCATCTTAAATAAACTCCCAACTGAGAGCGAGTGAGAAAGTGAGACTCACCCACACACACACAGCAGCAAAGAGCGACTACTCCGAGTCGTGCTGTCTGCATCCTGACCTCAGCCTATGTCCTGGTCACTCAGTCACTGAGCAGCCGGTGTCCTGGTCACTCAGTCACTGAGCAGCCGGTGTCCTGGTCACTCAGTCACTGAGCAGCCTGTGTCCTGGTCACTCAGTCACTGAGCAGCCGGTGTCCTGGTCACTCAGTCACTGAGCAGCCGGTGCTGGTTACACTCAGTCACTGAGCAGCCGGTGCTGGTTACACTCCGTCAGTCAGTAGAGCTTTCTCTTCTCTCAGCTCTGCACTTATTGAGCAAATAGGAAGTAGGGAGTGGTCGGGAGTCACTGCAGTGTGGTTCCTGGTCGGTGATATGAAATGGTTTGGGCATTTCAAGTCAGAACAGGGTTTGCCCAAAGCCCAGGAGCCGGGACATTGTGAGCTGCCGGACAGCAACACCGCAGCCGTTTGGATCTTTGTTCGTCTCGTTTTAAAATATAAAATACACAGAATAATAACAATAATAACCTGACATTCGATACAGTGCCTTATCACGTCTTCAAGACGACTCAAAGTGCGGCAGAACCCAACCCCATGTGAAGGCGCAATCATAGAATCATAGAATCATGGCTTTATACAGCCATTCAGCCCATCGCGTCTGTGACCGTTCTTTGAAAGAGCTTCAAAGTCAACCCCACTCCCCTCTCCCCACAGCCCTGATCAACCCCACTCCCCCACTCTCCCCACAGCCCTGATCAACCCCACTCCCCCTCTCCCCACAGCCCTGATCAACCCCACTCCCCCACTCTCCCCACAGCCCTGATCAACCCCACTCCCCCACTCTCCCCACAGCCCTGATCAACCCCACTCCCCTCTCCCCACAGCCCTGATCAACCCCACTCCCCTCTCCCCACAGCCCTGATCAACCCCACTCCCCCCTTCTCCCCACAGCCCTGATCAACCCCACTCCCTCGCTCTCTCCCTTTCGTCCTGCAAATTTGTCCTCCCCAAATACCGATCTACTTGTCTCTTGAAAGTTGTTATCGGATCGGTTTCCATCGGCCTTTCAGGAAACGCTTTCAGATCCCAGCAACTATAGACACAAATTATCGTTGTACTGTTTTGTGGGCGAAAAGCGGCAGTCAATTGGGGAACTCAGTGTCCCACAAACAGTGGTGGATAATGTGATCATAAACCTTTCACTTGGCACAGCCTTTCATGTCAGGAGAACATCTCAAAGTGTTTCACAGGATTTGTCACTGTAAAGTGTAGTGACTGTGTATTTAGTAGGCGAACGTGGGAGCTAATTGAGACTCAGCGACGTCCCACAAACAGCCGTGAAGTGAAGGACCAACACCATGAGGTGAATGACAGCCGCCTGACTGCCCAACAAAGGGCTTCATGTCATTAATCGACATAGAAACTCCGGGTTAGAAATCAAATGTGAATTACTGTTTCCCTGTGATTCCCAATAACACCACTCAATTATTCCATCAACGTTACAGTGAGCAACAGCCCCACCGTCTGTCAGAGCAGCGCTGTTACACAGTGACAATCAGCTGCTTCAAGAGGGAATATTAAGGGGTAAAAGTCTAAACATTTTGTGCCGATCACAAGATCACAAGATCACAAGATTAGTTTGGATCAACAAAGGCCTTTTGGCCGTCTGATCTCATCCCTTCAGCTCAGGCGCCCAACCAACACTTTGGGATGTCCTCCTGACGTGAAAGGCTCTATATAGACACCAGAGACCCAGAGACATTTACAGCACAGAAGGAGGCCATTCAGTCAATCTATCTCTGGGAATTTCCATGTGTAGGTGGGATGCACAGAATTCTCAGCCTGACACGGAGCCTGGAGAGGGCCGGAGTGATGGGTACAGGGTTTAGTGTGTGATAGGGACCCAGTGGGGCCTGGCGAGTGCGAGGGCGGGGGCGAGGGCGGGGGTGATGGGGTACAGGGTTTAGCGTGTGATAGGGAGCCAGTGGGGCCTGGCGAGGGCGAGGGCGAGGGCGGGGGTGGGTGATGGGGTACAGGGTTTAGTGTGTGATAGGGACCCAGTGGGGCCTGGCGAGGGCGAGGGCGAGGGCGAGGGCCGGGGTGGGTGATGGGGTACAGGGTTTAGTGTGTGATAGAGAGACAGTTTCCTGACTGTGTAAATGAGTGCAGATAAATCTACCAAATAAGGAATCCAAGAAAGCTCCAGCAGTGATCTTTCAGCAGAGAAGCCATGATAGTGATGATCCTGTAGCTCAGTGGGTAGACCCCTCGCCCGGCAAACGAGAGGATCTGGGTTCGATTCCCGGGTGGGACAGGGAGAAACGTTGGGCAAGTTTCCTTACTCCACACGTCACTGTTTGCCTTGTAGTGAGTAGGATCCGGTTGGTAGTCGATTGACGGATCGCTTTTCTGGGGGTAATAGTAATAATTCCTTCAAAAAAGAATAAGAATTGGTCACTTTAATCGACGAATGTTTGTGGGGAAGTCGCTGAGCGTAATATCTGCCGCAATTCGTCCACAAAACACACAGTCATTACACTTTATAGTGTATTGTGTGAAGCGCTTTGTGATGTCTTGAAGATGTGAGATTTTCAGTCACACTGACCAGAATATGATCACAGCTCAGCCAGAGATTGGCAAATAAAACAGCATCAAGTAAAGCTGTAAGAAGACTGTGCCAGTCCTGCTCATCACTGGGCGGACAGTGTGGTGGGCACTGCCCAGCCCTGGGCTAACAGTGTGGTGGGCACTGCCCAGCCCTGGGCTAACAGTGTGGTGGGCACTGCCCAGCCCTGGGCTAACAGTGTGGTGGGCACTGCCCAGCCCTGGGCTAACATGTGGTGGGCACTGCCCAGCCCTGGGCTAACAGTGTGGTGGGCACTGCCCAGCCCTGGGCTAACAGTGTGGTGGGCACTGCCCAGCCCTGGGCTAACAGTGTGGTGGGCACTGCCCAGCCCTGGGCTGACAGTGTCCTTTTGCCCTGAGGCTGACAAGCCATTGGCGCTGGGGCTGCAGTAACCTCTCTTGGGGAGCAGCTAAAATTGCCCTTTGTCCTTTCTGATGAAAAGTTCCTTTGCACTGAGCCCAGTGAGTGGCTTTGTTATTTATTCCTTATTTAATGAACTTTGTTCTCAGCCCAAACCAAACTTGACTTGGACCTTTGACACAGGGAGTGAATCTGGGCCCCATATGGACTGTGCAATGCTACGCAGTGGGGGTGGGGGGAGCTGGAGCCAACCCACAGCGGAGTGTGGGGCTACAGGAAGAGTGTGTGGTGTTGGACCAGTGAGATCCCAGTCCTGAGCTCGTAATCTATTTGTTGTGCTTACAACCCATTACCCCACTGGGAGTGTTGCTGGTGTACTTGGAGCAAACTGGGAACACCCTGGGTGCCGGGAACACCCTGGGGTGCCGGGAACGCCCTGGGGTGCCGGGAACGCCCTGGGGTGCCGGGAACGCCCCGGGGTGCCGGGAACGCCCTGGGGTGCCGGGAACGCCCCGGGGTGCCGGGAACGCCCTGGGGTGCCGGGAACACCCTGGGGTGCCGGGAACGCCCTGGGGTGCCGGGAACGCCCTGGGGTGCTGGGAACACTCTGGGGTGCCGGGAACACCCTGGGGTGCCGGGAACGCCCTGGGGTGCCGGGAACACCCTGGGGTGCCGGGAACACCCTGGGGTGCCGGGAACGCCCTGGGGTGCCGGGAACACCCTGGGGTGCCGGGAACACCCTGGGGCACTGGGACATATCCTTTGTGTTTTGCCGTCTTCAACCTTGAGCCCTGTAGCTCAGTGGTGAGAGCGCTCACCTCACACGGGAGAGGACCAGGGTTTGAATCCCGGGCCGGGCAAACACTGTGCAAGTTTCCTTACTCCACAGACCTCTGTTTATCAGCAGTAAGTATGAAGCCGGTCCTTAGTCCATTGGCGGATCACTTTTCTGGCGTCAATAATTTCTTCAAAATAATAATAACTTTGATCACTTAAACTACGACTGTTTGTGGGACGTCGCTGTGCGCAATTGGCTGCCGTGTTTCACCCACAAATACACTTTACAGTATATTCTGTGAAGCGCTTTGAGACGTCGAGAAGACGTGATAAGGCGCTATATCAACTGCAAGGATTATTATTATTATTATTATCATCAACAAATGACATTTACACAGCGAGTTTCACGGCGGGAGGACGTCCCGAGGCGCTGGACAGTCAGGGATTTGGACCCGAGTGGGGGTGGGGAGGAGGGTTTGGGATCAGGAGGGGGTGGAGGTGGGGAGGGTGGGGGTAGGAGGGTGACTGAAGGTACGATTGGTTGAAGAGGAGGGATTTGAGCCGAGTCTTGAAGGAGGTAAAGGAGAGGGTGAGGGGGAGGGACTGTGGGATGGAGAGCCATACACCAACAACAACAAGAAGATTCCATTTATAGAGCGCCTTTCACGTCGGGAGGACGTCCCAAAGCGCTTTACAGTTGGGTCATGACCCGAGCATTGGGGAAATGGTCAGGGTGAGGGGAGGGAAGGGAGGGAGCGAGGAGGGGGGAAATGGTCAGGGTGAGGGGAGGGAGCGAGGAGGGGGGAGTCGAGAGTGGAGCTGAAGGTACGGTCAAACAGAAAGGTATTGAGACCGGCCTTGAAGGAGGAAAGGGAGGAAGCGGCGAAGGCACTGGGGATAGAGTTCTAGAGCCTCGGGGCTGAGAGGCTGAAGGCCACCGATGGTCGGGCGGTTGGGGCGGGGGATGTGGAGCAGACCAGAGCCAGAGGAACGGAGGATACGGGCAGGTACATGGGGGGATAGGAGGTCAGAGAGGTAGGAGGGAGCGAGGCCGGGAATGGCCTTGTAGGTGAGGATGAGGATCTTGAATTCGGTCCTCTGGGGGATGGGGAGCCAGTGGAGGCGAGCGAGGGCGAGGGCGAGGGCGAGGACGAAGGTGAGGGCGAGGGCGAGGGTGAGGGCGAGGGCGAGGGTGAGGGTGAGGGTGGGAGTGATGTGGTCGCGGTGTCTGGTGCGGGACAGTACACGAGCTGCAGAGTTCTGAATGACCTGCAGTGTGGAGGGAGGGCCGGGAAGGCCGGAGAGGAGAGAGTTCCCATAGTCCGGCCTTGAGGTGATAAAGGTGTGGACCAGAGTTTCAGCCGTGTGAGGGGTGAGGTAGTGCCGTAGTCCGGTCATGTTCCGGAGGTGATGGAAGGCGGTGCCAGTTGTGGTGCGGATGTGAGGGAGAAAGGACAGCTCAGGGTCGAGGGGAACCCCGAGGTTCCTGATGACTTTGAGAGGTGGAGAGTGCAGCCTTCGATGCTGATGCTGTCAGTGCCTGAGGTGCGGAGGCGCTGACGTGAGCCAATCAGGAGGGCCTCAGTTTTGCGCACGTTGAGCTGAAGAAAGTTGTCTCTCGTCCAGGACTCGATGTCGGACAGACAGCTGTCAGGACATCGGGGGTCGTGGAGTTGAGGGTAGAGGAGGAACGGTAGAGTTGGGTGTCATCCGCACACATGTGGGAGTGAACCCCATGTCTGCGGATGGTGTCACCAGAGGGGGAGCATATAGAGTGTGAAGAGGAGGGGACCGAGGACAGAGCCCTGAGGGACACCGCACGAGACAGTGCGGGTGGAAGAGAAGCCGTTTGTGGAAACAAAATGAAGACGGGTGGGGGCAGAGGCTGAAGGCAGGTTGAAGGCCCGATGGAGGGGCGGACAGGGTGGGGACGTGAAGCACCCGGACCCCACTGAGCGGAGGGAAGGGACAGGTTGGTAGGGGGTTAGGAGGTCCCAGAGGGAGGGAGGAGCAATGCCGTGGAGGGTTTAGAAGGTGAGCTACAGCTCTTCCCACACAGTGACACTTCAGTGCTGATCACCGGTCAATACCAGAACATCTATTGGACATTTAAATGCTGTGAAATAAGAGTTTTATTATCTGGAGACTCAAAGTCAAGAAACCCACGACATTCACTATCAATGTTGTATTTTATGAGTCAGATTTACATCAATAACCACACGATCTGAATAAACAAAGCCAAACCTCCTCTAAATAAAGCTATTGGTGAGATTATAGTGTATTTAGCATTGCACTGGACTTTATTACTAATCACTAAGAAGTCTCAAGCGATAGAATCAATAGTCCCAAGTGAGGGGCAACAGTGTCCTCCTGTCTCAGTTGGTGACACTCTCAGCTCCGAGTCACAAGGTTGTGGGTTCAAACTCCACATCAGGATTTGCTTCAAAAATTCCTTAAAATTAATAATAATAAATTGGCCATTTCAATCCACGACTGTTTGTGGGACGTCGCTGTGCACAATTGGCTGCCGTGTTTCACCACAAAATATAGTCAATTCACTTTATTCTGTGAAGCACTTTGAGACGACTTGAAGATATGATACGGCGCTGTATCAAATGCAGGAATTATTATTATTATTATAACACACACAGTCGAGGCTGACACCCCAGTGCAGTGCTGCATTGTTGGAGGTGTTGTCCTTCAGATGAGTGTTTGTGTTTGTATTTGAGTGATCGAAAGGCAATGGAAGGTTTATTTATGGCTTTTGGATTCTCTTTCCCTGAGACATTCTGTGGACTTTTGTTTGCAGGAAGAAGTGATTATTTAAGCTGTTGGTTAATGCTGTTCAAGGAGCTATACATTGTACCCGGGCGACTGTTGAACCTTTTTATATCACTCGCCCTTTACTCAGCCGGCAACATGCAATCACACTGTGATAAGGTTTGGAGTTTAAATCACAATTAAAATATATCGTGGACAGTCTGCAGTCCTCACTCAGCAGCACGGCTTGTGTGACAGCCTCTGACTGGTTAGACAGACGGGATAAGCAAAGCTCTTAACGCACCGTCTTCTGTTTTTGCTCTTGTGGTTCAAGTCCACACAGAGGAACTATCTCCTCTGGTGAGTGGGGAATCCAGAACAAGGGGGACATCATCTTATAATCAGAGACAGGACATTTAGGAGTGAAATCGGGGCAGTTTTTTGCCCAAAGGGGAGTGGGAATCTGGAACTCTCTCTCTCCCCAAAAGGCTGTGGATTACGGCTGTGGATCCCTTCACATTGTCAACACTGAGATGGAGATATGTTTGTCAGGTCAGGAGATCAAGGGATATGGGCAAAGGCAGTTGGAGTTGAGGTACAGATCAGCCTTGAGCTTATAGAATGGTAGAACAGGCTTGAGGGGCTGAATGGCCTCCTGTGTTCCTACGATGAATATTCATTGACGTATAGCATCTGTAGAAACAACAAAAACAGTCAATTCTGAGGCACAAATCAGCATTTGCTACTACTGCATCTGTACAGCAGCAGAGCAATAGTTACATGTTACAGCTATTAGTTAATAATCAGTTATTACACTGAAGAGAAATATACACAGCACTGAAGGGACATTGAAATGTGTTAAATTGATCAATACCATTTGGGAGTGTTCAGGTGGACGTTAAAGGTCTAAAGGGACGACTCGAAAGAAAGAAAATAAAGTTTCTCCCAAGTCATCAATCCCCCAAATTAAAATAAAAGGGACTTTGTTTCATGGCCGTTTGTGGACATTGCAGCTGCAATTGGGCAGCTGTGTGAGAATCATAGCATTATACAGCACAGAGGAGGCCATTCGGCCCATCATGTCTGTTCCGGCTCTTTGAGAAGGGCTTCCAAATCAATCCCATTCCCCTACTCTCTGACCAAGAATAATTATTAATATTATTTACCTTCTCCCTCATGATCTTGTCCTCCTGACGTACTGGCGTCAGCATCAGGTTCTGGTGGTAATCTCTGTTGGCAAATGAAGAAAGAAAATGTTTTTATTTGTTATTGATTTATTATAATGGCACTGGAGACAATTAAAAGCCTCTAAATATACACTGCCAACCCCTCCTAAAGCCAAACTTCTAATAATAATAATATTCCTTGCATTTGATATCGGGCCTTATCGTGTCTTCAAGACGTCTCTGTAAAGTGAATTGATTGATATTTTGTGGGCAAAATGCGGCAGTCAATTGTGCACAGTGGTGACCCACAAACAGTCGTTGATTGTGTGACCAATATAATATTATTATTTTAATTTAAAGGAATTATTAGCCCCATAAAGAGTGCTTGACTAACTCGCTCACCAATTGACTAACCGGGTTCCTCCTCACCGCAAGGTAAACAGAGACGTATGGCATAAAGAAACTTGCCCAATGTTTCGTGCCAGGAATCAAACCCAGTTCCTCTCGCTTGTGAGGCGAGTGCTCTAACCACTGAGCTACAGGACTCTGAAATGAATCCTAATTTCTTGCTATTTCCCCATTCTCTTCACATTATTCCCCTTACAATCCTTGTCCAGTTCCCTTTTATATGCAGTTACGGTCACTTTTAGCAAAGAGTTTCTATGGGGAATACAATACAACACAATACAAATTTACTTTATCAGCGCCTTTCACATCAGGTGGACGTCCAAGCACTTAACGGTAATGGCTCGGCTCCCGAGATAGGGGTGGGAGCTGAGCGGGTGGAGAGATAGGTCTGAGACCTACCGCCCTAAGTCGAGGTAAATCTGTGCAAATAAGCATTTACTTAACTTCTCTTTAGCTCTTTAACTCTCCCCCTTTATGCCCCCGTTGGGTTCTATTCTATAGTGCAATGAGCTTTTATTATCATTATCGTAGAGTCCTGTAGCTCAGTGGTTAGAGCACTTGTCTCGCAAGCGGGAGATCTGGGTTGGATTCCCGGCAAAGAGAAACGTTGGTCAAGTTTTCTTACTCCACACGTCTCTGTTTACCGAACAGAAAGTAGGAGCCCAGTTGTTAGTGGATTAGTGGATCGCTTTTTCGGGGGTAATAGTTCCTTTGAAAAAAAATCGTAAATTGGTCACTACCAACACGACTGTTTGTGGGACACTGCTGTGAGCAATTGGCTGCCGTGTTTCTCCCACAAAATATACAGTCAATGAGTACTTTGCATCTATCTTCACAAAAGAAGAGGATGCAGCCAATGCCACAGTATCGGAGGAAAAGGGAAGAGAAATTGGATAAGATACGAATAGACTGAGAGGAGGTATTAAAAAGGTTGATGGTGCTCAAGGTGATAAGGCACTCGCTCCAGATGGGATGCGTCCTGGGCTACTGAGCGAAGTAAGGGTGGAAATAACGGAGGCTGTGGCCACAATCTTTCAATCCTCCTTGGACACCGGTGGTGCCAGAGGACTGGAGGGCTGCAAATGTTACTGCCCTATACAAAAGGGCAGAAGGATAAAGCCAGAACTACAGGCCCGTCAGCCTCATGTCAGCCTTCTGTGCTGCATAATTCTATGATTCTATGATGATTCTGATTCACTTGACAGTCAATTCTGTGAAGTCAGAAGTCTGTGAATTCATCAGCAGGACCTGGGGCAGACCAGTCACTGGGGGCAGGGAATCCTCCCCCTCAGCTCCTGTTAACACAGCAGCCAAAGCCCTGACTAACGGGGAGGGTGGTCCTCGCTGGACAAGCAGCGGGAAAGCGAGTCAATGGCAAACTATGTGGGTTCAGCTGGTTAGCCTCCAGCAGTTACCCCAACGCACACTCTGGGGTCCACAATGATTATGGAATATAATTAATTTCAGTCATTCGATTATATAGAATCATAGAATATTACAGCACAGACGGAGGCCATTCAGCCCATTCAGCTTTGGAAGAGCTGCCCAATCAGTCCCACTCCCCACTCGGTCCCCATAATGCGGCAAAATTTTCCTTTTCAAGTTCCTGTGTAATTCCCTTTTGAAAGTTGTTATTGAATCTGTTCCCACAGCCTTTCAGGCAGTGGATTCCAGTCCGGAACAACTCTCTGGAAAAAAACGTCTCCTCACCTCCCCTCAGGTTCCTTTGCCAATAATCTTAACTCTGTGTCCCCTGGTTACTGACCCTCCCGCCAGTGGCCGCAGTTTCTTCCTGTTCACCCTATCAAATCCTCTCATAATTTTGAACATCTATTAAATCTCCCCTTAACCTTCTCTGAACCGAGGATTACAATCCCAGTGAACGGTATAAGTTAATTGGTGAGTTTCAGGAGAGAAAACAGTGTTTCCATCACATGACAAACAGTGCGATCAAAGCTCGAACATTAATGCTCTCCAACAATTGTTTTACTCACTTTGTTCTTTGCTCTTTGCACATTGTTGATGTTCTTATACACTTTGGGAGCAGCAACTGTAAGAATAGGTGTCAAGTCATCCAAACTCTGCAGCTCATGTCCTCCCCCGGACCAGGCTCCGTGACCCCATCACCCCCCCCCCTCGTCCGGCTCCACTGGATCCCCATCACCGAGAGGACAGAGATCAACATCCTCATCCTCACCTTCAAAGCCCTCCATGGCCTTCCCTCTTGCTACCTCTGCCCTGCTAACCCCTTACCAACCTGTCCCCTCCCTCCGCTCAGTGGGCTCCGACCTGCTTCACATCCTCCGCTGACCACCCCACCATCGACGGTCGGGCTCCAGCCTCTCTGCCCCCACCTTCTGGAACTCCATCCCACAGTCCCTCTGTCTCACCCCCTCACTTGCCTCCTTCATGGCCCGTCTCAAGTCCCTCTTCTTCAGCCGACCATGACTTTGGGCCGTCCTCCCACCCTCCCTTACCCCAACCCCCACCCACTCCCTGAGCCCAAATCCCTGACTGTCCCGAGTCCTGGGAGGTCCTCGCGATGTGAAATGCCATCGTGTGTAAATGTCGTGTTGTATGTATCGGGTGGAACAGGAAGCAGTCTCTCTCGTCAGGAAGGGGGTTAGGACTCGGGCCCAGGGATTGGAGAGACAGGACGGTGATCTGATCACAGTGGTTTATCTCACACAGAGCAAAGCTGAACCAGACATCCGTAACACACAGAGAGCTGTGCTTTGTGTTGGGTTGAATGGAGATGCTATTTGCTTTGGGAAATGGATGTTGACTTGAATCAATAGACACTTTTGTTACAAAAGACGGAATTTCTGTCTGTGAATCTTGGCTTTGACCAACAATTATACACCACTTTCTCTCTTCAGTGAGTTCTGGAGAATATTCCTCAAACATACCTGTCAGGTTGCTGTCCTCTGAAGATTGTGGTCCTATTCTCTGTTAAAGTCAAGAGAGAACTTGTTTCAATTGCCTTTTTTAGTAAAAGCTCAGAATCATAGAAAGTACAGCACAGACAATGGGGCACATTGAGGTTTTGTTGGTAATTTTGCCAGTTTTTCTGTCCTCATTTCGTGGCCAACAATCCCCCAAATAGAATTGGTCCTTCACTTGTGGCTGTGTGTGAGACATTGCTGATTTATTATTATGTCTCAAGGAATGAAATAAACCGTCTCACCTCATATGGACGATCTGGGACCTCATTATCCTGTAAGAACATGAAATATAAAGTTTTTAGAACATAATTATGTTCAGGCAGTTGATTATCCAGTCAATAATTTGAGTCAGTTGGCGAGATTCAGGGGAGTTAACAGCTGCTCACTTCATGCCACAGACAGTGAGATGGAACCATGTTGACCAGAGGTTGTTTTAGTAACTATCCTGACCTGGTTCCCCATATGGAAGGACTCATTCTGGTAGATTGTTCGTGCCTCATTGCGTGTTGAAGAGATTCCTGTTGTGAGAATGACACCATTATCTAATTTACCCTCTCATCACAGGTTCATATATTTTTCATACCCGGTATCATCCATTGACATTGCCTCTCCAGGTCGAGGATATTCTTTCCTCAATGGGGAGCGGAAAACCCCATCAGATGGATCACCTTAGGACCGAGATCTCGTTTGTGCTCTCTGAGCCTCTGAGCACTTAGAATAGTCCTTATATTTGATATAATAATAGTCTTTGTATTTGATATAATAATAGTCCTTGTGTTTGATATAATAATAGTCCTTGTATTTGATATAATAATAGTCCTTGTATCTGATATAATCATATCGTAGAATCATAGAATTGTACAGCACAAAAAGAGGCCATTCGGCCCATCGAGTCTGTGCGGCTCTTTGAATAGAGCAATTAATGTCAATCCCACTTCTCGGCCCTTTCCCCATAACCTGCAAACCCGTTCTCCTCAAATACCCGTCCACCGCGTTTTTAAAAGTAGTTATTGAATCCCATATAATAATCCTTGGATTTGGTACACTGTATATATCACTACAAATAAAAGTGATGTAGTTACCGGGATCTCCAGCAGAATGCCCACACTGTCTGTAGACGACAACAGCAATCAGGAGAATGATGATCACAAACAATATAACCCCGAGAGTGATGGCTGCGATGGTGGCGCTCTGATCCTGAGCACCAACAGAATCTGGAGGGGAAAGTCAACAGATGTTAATGTTCATATAATGCCCTTCACATGGGTTATCATAATAATCTTTAATAATCCTTAACACAGCGCCTTATCACATCTTCGAGAGTCTCAAAGCGCTTCACAGGATACACTGGTTACAGGATACAATGGGGGTGTTGTGTCCTTCCGATGTGAAAGGTGCTATAGAAATGTTCTTGTTGAAAGTGCAATGGAGGGTACGAGGGACAAGCAAGAGGACGGGTTGAGGGGTGATCAGGTCAGAGAGGTGGAGACAGTCCAGGGCAGGAAGCGATTTGAAAACGAGTGAGAGGATCTTGAAATCGATCTGTTCCGCAATAGGGACCCAGTGGGGCCTGGCGAGGGCGGGGGTGATGGGGTACAGGGTTTAGTGTGTGATAGGGAGCCAGTGGGGCCTGGCGAGGGCGAGGGCGAGGGCGGGGGCGAGGGCGATGGGGTAAAGGGTTTAGTGTGTGATAAGGACCCAGTGGGGCCTGGCGATGGCGGGGGCGAGGGCGATGGGGTACAGGGTTTAGTGTGTGATAGGGAGCCAGTGGGGCCTGGCGAGGGCGGGGGCGAGGGCGATGGGGTACAGGGTTTAGTGTGTGATAGGGACACAGTGGGGCCTGGCGAGGGCGGGGGTGATGGGGTACAGGGTTTAGTATGTGATAAGGACCCAGTGGGGCCGGGCGAGGGCGGGGGTGATGGGGTACAGGGTTTAGTGTGTGATAAGGACCCAGTGGGGCCGGGCGAGGGCGGGGGTGATGGGGTACAGGGTTTAGTATGGGTGAGTGTGTAGTTTGTATGTATAAATCACAGCAGTTATGGTCTTCACCTGTCACAATGAAGTCCACACTGGTGTAGATGAAGTTGTCAGTCACTTTGTTGTGAGCCAGACATGTGTAATTCCCACTCTGGTTCCAGGTAATGTTAGCAATGGTGTGTGCGGGTCCTGCCTGTAGCACAGTATTCCCTCTGTACCATTTATACTCTGCTGCAGGGCTGGATGTCGCAGAGCAATACAGGATAATAGTTTGTCCCAAGAACGCAGTCACTGGTCCGGGAGGGATAATGCTGGAGTCGTCTGGTCCATCTGTGTAGCACATGAGAAGAGAGAGGTGGGTTATTTCCATCTTAGAGATCGGTGTTTAAATAAATAATCTAAATGTCTTATTAAATAATAATAATCCTTGTATTTGATAGAGCGCCTTATCACATATTTGAGACGTCTCAAAGTGCTTCACAGAATAAACTGAAGTGTAGTGACTGTGGGTTTTGTGGGCGAAACGCAGAAGTAACCAATTTATTATTATTTTATTTAATATTATTGGAAAAGCGATTCATCAATCGACTAACAAACAAACTCCTACTTACTACTACGCAAACAGAGGCGTGTGTGTGTGTGTGTGTGTGTGTGTGGGAGTAAGCAAACTTGCCAAATCTATGTAGTGTTCTGTAGCTCAGTGGTTAGAGCACTCGCCTCGTAAGTGAGAGGACCTGGGTTCAATTCCCGGGCAGAGTGAAACCTCAAGCAAGTTTCCTTACTCCACACACACACACACACACACCTCTGTTTATCTAACAGTAAGTAGGAACCCGTTTGTTAGTCGATTGGCAGATCGCTTTTCCTGGGGTAGTAAACCCTTTGAAACAAATTTTTAAAAATAATAATTAGGTCACGCAATCCGCAACTGTTTGTGGGACGTTGCTGTGCGTAATATACAGTCACTAGACTTTACAGTGTAGCCTATGAAGCGCTTTGAGATGTCTCGAAGATGTGATAAGGCGCTGTATCAAATGCAAGGATTATTGTTATTATATACAGTCGCTTGTACTTACAGACAACCTCTATGTTGAATGTAGCTGTCGCATTGCTGACAGGATTTTGAACCAAACAGCAGTAATCCCCAGTGTCCCTTCTGTTCACCAGCTTTATAGTCAAGGTATCGTTGTTGGGAGACATGAGAATCCGCTCGTTGCTCTCGAGAGCTTGTTTATCTTTGAACCACACTCGGGAGTGAATGAGGCCAGAGGCGTCACAAGTCACGGACACACTCTCAGTACCTTCCACTGGGTTCGAAGCATTGGCCAGAACTCTGACACTGGAAATTTGTTCTGCAAATAAAAACAAAAGGAAATCATTTTGTGGAGTCCCGTAGCTCAGTGGTGAGAGCGCTCCCCTCTCAAGCGAGAAGACCTGGATACGATTCCCGGGCAGAACAAAACCTTAGTCAAGTTTCCTTATTCCACGCACACACTCCTGTGTTTACTGGGCAGTAAGTAGGAACCCGGTTGTTAGTTGATTGGTGGATCACGTCTCCAGGGGTAATAATCCCTTGAACATTTTTTTCAAATAATAATTTGCTCACTCAACCCACGGCTTTTTGTGGGTCACAAACACTGCATAGCTTGGCCATTGAGAGCGCTGTCTGGCAAGCTTTCCCGCTGCTTGTCCAGCGAGGGCCACCCTACCCATTAGTCAGGGCTTTGACTGCAGGATTAACAGGAGCTGAGTGCGAGGATTCCCTGCCCCCAGTGACTGATCTGCCCTTCCAGGTCCTGCCGATCAGCCAGACTGGGCCGTGCTGTCAAATGAAGGAGTGAAACTACATAAAAAGGTCACATTAATACACTATTATTACATACCTATAACTTGGATTTCCATGGTCGCTTCATTGTACCTTAGTGTTACATTGTTATTTGCCTGACAAGTGTAATTTCCGGTGTGGTTCGTAGAAATATTACTGATGGTAATTTGTTGGCTGTTTAGTAGAAGAGAGGCACCATTGTGAAACCACTTAAATTGAGAGGTTGGATTGGAGTCCACAGAACACAGCAAATCAAAGGTTGTTCCTAAACCGTGAACGGTTTGATCCGGGACGGTAGACATAATGGGTAATCCTGGTCCATCTGGAACAAACAAAATAATAGTCTGTCACATCATAAAAATCACAAGTCTAGAACTATCTAATGTACAGTACAACCCACCACCACCACCACAACAAACAACAAAATTATATTTGTAAAGCGCCTTTCACATCGGGAGGAAGTCCCAAAGCGCTGAACAGTCGGGGATCAGGACCCGAGTGTGGGGGTGGGGCAGGGTTGGCAGAGTGGGGCAGGAGGGTGGCTGTGCCTTCAGCCTCCATGCTCCGAAGCTCTGGAATTCTCTCCCTCAATCCCTCCACCTCGCCCCTCCCTCACCACCTTCAAATCCCGCCTAAAGACCTTCCTTTTTGATTGTGCTTACGGCCACCCCCCCCCCCACCCTCTCCCCCCGGCTTGGGGTCAGACTCTGCCACTGTTAAGCGCTCCCGGGTGCTACCCAGAGTGAATAATAATAATAATAATAATCCTTGCATTTGATACAGCGCTTTTCACATCTTCTCGCCGTCTCAAAGCGCTTCACAGAATAGACTGTAAAGTGAAATGACGTATATTTATGAAGGACACTGTATAAATTCGAGTTGTTTGATGTTGTTAACTGGCAGCTCAAAGTCCTTGGGCAGGTAAAAGAGTGGAAGGTGAGCAGGTTGGGGTGATTTGTCGGGGAGTGTGAAGAGCTTGGAATCAGGACACAATTTTTCACACAATCGTGAGCTCTCTTTCCCGAAAGGCTGTGAATTATGTCTGGATCCAATCACGTTGTCCAGACTGAGGTGGATAGATGTTGGTGGTGTTTGTCAAGTCAGGGTTATGGGATATGGGGCAAAGGCAGGTAATTGGAATTGAGGTACAGATCAGCCATAATCTAATAGAATGGCAGAACAGGCTTGAGGGGTTGAATGGCCTCTTCCTGTTCCTACGATTCTATGTTCCTATGAACCAATTTGTTCTGTGCCAGTGAAGCTTGGCAGGACTGAGGTGATGAGTGTGTGCAGTGTGGTTCTGGTTTGACGACACAGGAGATGAAGATAGAATCACTTTTGCTTTGTGAATGGTGAAGCTGGGGAGACTGGTGAGGAGGGCAATGCAGAAATCAAGGCGGGAGGTGATGAGAGCGTGGAGGAGGGTTTCAGCAGTGAGGTGAGGTGTGTGGTGTGATTGGAAATGTGGTTTAAACAAATCCAAGGTTGCAACCATCACATTATATAACATTGAAGCCGCTCGGTGTGTACTTACAGTTCACATTCAGAAGAAATGGATGGCTTGTATTGCCACTAACGGCGTTGTAGACATGACAAGTGTACTTCCCACTGTCAGATCTCAAAACTCCAACTAGAGTCAGCGTTTTGTTATCCGCACTTAGAACAATCCTGTGGTTATAGCGTATTGTTTCATTGTCCTTAAACCACTCGTATGAAATGGCTGTGCCTCGTGCAGCGCAGGTCAGCTCCACAGTGTCGTTATATTCCACTGGGACCGTGTCATTGGAGGTAATGACAATATTGGAAACAGTTTCTGTTAAAACACAGCAGAGTATTTGGACTATGTGAATTATACAGTAGTTTGAAACTGAAGTCATCTACAATATTTCCTATTTCACTCACAAAATAGTCAATTCACCTTACTGTGTATTCTGTGAAGCGTTTTATTATATATATATATATTTCTTGCCTTTGATATAGCACCTGATCATGTCTACCAGACGTCTCAAAGCGCTTCACAGAATATACTATAAAGTAAATTGACTGTATATTTGTGGGAGAAATGCGGCAGCCAATTGCGCACAGCAGCGTCCCACAAACAGTCGTGCATTGAAGTAACCAATTTATTAGGGAATATTATCAGGCGATTTGATCCTGGGTTTGATTCCCGGCAGAGCAGGATCAAACCAGGATCAAATCCAGGTCCTCTTGCTTGCGAGGTGAGTGCTCTAACCACTGAGCTACAGGATTCCACAATGGCAGAGCTGGTTGCTGAGCCGGAGAGAGAAGGTGAATGCAGACGCTGGTGAAGAGGAAAGTCTTCAGGTGTGATGTGAAGGCGGGGTGGCGGAGGGTGGTAGACGCAGTGGCAGTGTTAAGAAGTTCAGAGAGAGAGTTGCTGAAGGCATGGCCTCCAATGGTGGAGCAGTGGGGTTGAGAGACCAGCTGAAGGCTGGACCGAGCCAAGCGAAACGGGAAGGTAGAGGACTTGGGTGCAACCAGGCAATAAGGAAGTCGAATGAGATAAAACAGCTGTCTTTTTACCAGTCACAGTCCTTTCACACTTTTAAACTTAAATTTCATAACATACAGGTAATTCTATTGTTATTGCATCCATTTCAGTTTCTGGACATTTATATAATAATAATCCTTGAGTTTGATATAGGGCCTAATCGCGTTTTGAAGCGTTTCGCAGGAAATTCTACAAAGTGTTGTGACTGTGTGTTTTGTGTCCCACAAAACAGTCGTGAATTGAATGACCAAATTATTATTATTATAATGAAGTTGGAGGGATTGAGTTAATGTTAAATGTTTGTGGGACGCCGCTGTGCGCAATCGGCTGCAGTATTTCGCCCATTTTACAGTGTATATCCTGCAAAGCACTCCAAGGTGGAGTCCTGTAGCTCAGTGGTTAGAGCACTCGCTTTGCAAGTGAGAGACCTGAGTTCAATTCCAGACAGAGGGCGAAACCTCGGGCAAGTTTCCTTACTCCACACAGAGCCTAATAATAATCCTCCAAAACCACAAACAATAATAAATTGGTCATTTTCAATCTACGACTGTATGTGGGACATTGCTCTGCGCAATTGGCTGCCGCGTTCGCCCACAAATATACAGTCAATTCACTTTACAGTGTATTCTGTGAAGCGCTTTGGGACGTCCTCCCGACGTGAAAAGCGCTATATCAAATGCAAGGATTATTATTATTATTATTATTATTATTAAGGTGTCTCAAAGACATGTTAAGGCACTGTATCAACAACAACAACAAATGACAGTTGTATACAACAACAACAAAATGATATTTATCGAGCGGCTTTCATTTCGGGAGGACGTCCCAAGGCGCTGGACAGACAGGGGTCCGGACCTGAGCATGGGGGAGGGGTGGGGGAGGGGTGAGGGAAGGCAGAGAGGTGGGAGGGTGACCGAAGGCACGATCGAAGAGGAGGGTCTTGAGACCAAGCTTGAAGGAGGCCAGGGAGGAAGCGAGGCCAAGGGACCGTGGGATGGAGTTCCAGAGTGTGGGCTGTGGGGCTGAAAGCCCGGCCAGCGATGGTAGGGCGGGTCGGGAGGGAGACATGAAGCAGCCGGAGCCCACGTGAGAGTTCACAAGCTGCAGAGTTTTGGATGATCTGCAGCTTGTGAAGGGAAGAGTTGGGAAGGCCGATGAGGAGGGAATTTCCAGTAATTGAGCCTTGAGGTGACGAATGCGTGGATGAGAGTTTTGGCAGCCTGAGGGTGAGGCAGTGGCGGAGTCTGGCCATGTTACGGAGGTGGTGGTAGGCAGTGCCGGTTATGGCGTGGATGTGGGAGAGAAAGGTCAGTTCAGGGTAAACAAGACACCCAAGTTCCTGACTGGCTTAGTGAGGTATAGCCACTTTCACGTCAGCAGAACATCCCAAGGCACTGGACAGTCAGGGATTTGGACTCAAGCTGATGGTGGGGATTAGGAGGGATAGCAGGGAGGGTGGAGATCGGAGGGTGAACGAAGGCACACTGGAAGGGAAGGGCCTTGAGACAGATCTTGAAGGAGGCAAGAGAGCGCATGAAGCAGGCCGGGGTCCGCTGAGCGGAGATGGAGATGGTAGGTAGGGGTGTAGGAGATCACAGAGATAGGGAAGAGTAAAGCTGTGGAGGGCTTTGAAGGTGAGAACCAGAATCAAAAGTGAGGATTAGTAATCTGACTGCTACTTACCCAGTACATTCAGCGTAATCTCAGCTGTGTCAGATTGGCCAAAAATTGGGAACATGGTCACACTGTACTGCCCATCGTCAGTTAATTTTACTGACAGCAGGTGGAGGGAGGCTTCAGGGAATAATAATCTAATCCGTTCCACATAGGCAGGTACTGTTGTGTTTGTTGACCCAATCCAATCGACGATTCTTATATTTTTGAAATTCCAGTTGCCTCCAGCAACCGAAGCAGAGGGTCTGACTGTGAACTCAGCCGTACCTCCAACGGGAACATTGATGGGATTGTCTGGTACAGTGATGGTGAACTGTGCTGTAACTGGAGAGAGAGAAAATCCCATTAAGGACAGCGAGACATCGGCTGAATACACATCGACACAGTCCGTCCTGACTGACGGCATCTCTTGTAGGGACGCGGTGAGCAAGTTCTCCTGTCTCTATCGTTAGATCATCTTAAATAAACTCCCAACTGAGAGCGAGTGAGAAAGTGAGACTCACCCACACACACACAGCAGCAAAGGGCAACTACCCCGAGTCGTGCTGTCTGCATCCTGACCTCAGCCTATGTCCTGGTCACTCAGTCACTGAGCAGCCGGTGTCCTGGTCACTCAGTCACTGAGCAGCCGGTGTCCTGGTCACTCAGTCACTGAGCAGCCTATGTCCTGGTCACTCAGTCACTGAGCAGCCGGTGTCCTGGTCACTCAGTCACTGAGCAGCCTATGTCCTGGTCACTCAGTCACTGAGCAGCCGGTGTCCTGGTCACTCAGTCACTGAGCAGCCTATGTCCTGGTCACTCAGTCACTGAGCAGCCGGTGTCCTGGTCACTCAGTCACTGAGCAGCCGGTGTCCTGGTCACTCAGTCACTGAGCAGTCTGTGCTGGTTACACTCGGTCCCTTCTCTGCTGTGCTGAGTGCTATACCTATTCAGGAAATGTAAAGGGAATTTGCTGCTGTCATTTACAGCTTTGCAATCCATCGCCAAGTGATTAGATATCAATCAAATGGGTAAATTAATGCTTTGTGAGCCATGTCACTGCTGGAAGGTTGCACAGTGCAACCTCACCGCTCTCTGCTTAGCTGTGCGACTGTACCTATTGCTGTCTATTGTCAGCAACCAATTAGGAAGGTGAACATACGGTATGTTAGTGTTCATTATGAAAGGATTAGAGTAGGGAAGTCTTGCTGCAACCGTACAGGGCCCTGGAATACTGTGTGCAGTTTTGGTCTCCTTATTTAAGGAAGGATGTACTTACTTTGGAGGGGGTGCAGCGTAGATTTACTCGGTTAGTACCAGGGATGAAGGGGATGAGTTACGAGGAGAGGCTGACCAATTTGAGCCTATATTCTCTAGAATATAGAAGATTTAGAGGGGATCTTATAGAAACTTATAAGATCATCAAAGGACATGATAGTGCGAGTGGATAGTGGGAGATTGTTTCCCCGGTTGGAGAAACTAAAACCAGGGGTCACAACCTTAAAAGCAGAGGCAGCCCTTTCGCACTGAGTTGAGGAAGAACTTCTTCACTCAAAGGGCAATGAGTGTATGGAACTCGCTACCCCAAAGGGCTGTTGACACATATTCAAGACCGAGAGAGATAGATTTCTTATTGCAAAAGGGATTAAGGGATTATGAGGATAAGGCAGTGTCAGGTTATTACAGTTAGATTAGAAGATCAGCCATGATTGAATGGCGGGGCAGGCGCGAAGGGCCGAATGGCCTACTCCTGCTCCTATACGTTAGGTTATGTTAGTGTCATTGCAATCAGCCTCTGATATTCTGTCAGCCTGGCTCAGTTGGTAATAATAATAATAATCCTTGCCTTTGATAGAGCGCCTTAGCACATCTTCAATACATTTCAAAGAGCTTCACAGACTATTTCTGTTCAGGACAATTGTTTCTTCCAGGAGTATAATCTAGGGTGTGCGCACACTCAAAGTCCCACATACTCCTTTTTTTCAAGGCAGTGATATTTGCTCTAAAAAATGTTTTTGTTGCAAGCCCTGACCTCCCTCCAATCTTACTTTACACTATACTGTAAAGTGAATTTAATGCATATTTTGTGGACAAAATGCAGGAGCCAATTGCGCAGGAAAGTGTCCCACAAACAGTCATGGATTGAGTGATTAAGTTATTTAAATTTATTTTGAAGGAATAATATACAAAGGAATACATGAAGGAATAATAAAGAATATACTGTAAAGTGCAGTGACTGTGGATTTAGTGGGCGAAACCCGGCAGCCGATTTGCCGACAGCAAATTCCAATTTTAAAAATAATTTTATTTGGGGAGAAAGGTTGGCCAGGAGAGAGGAACTCCCTTCTCTTTTCAAATCGTGTCACGGGATTAACCCGTTCAGACAGGCACGGACCTTGGTTCAACATCTGGTCCTGTCACACTCACTCTCCGTCACAGAATATGCTATAAAGTATATATTCTGTGGATGAACATAGCAGCCAATTGTGCACAGTGGAGTCCGTTGGCTTAGTGGTTAGACCACTCGCCTCGTCAAGCGAGAGTATCTGCGTTCTATTACCGGCAGAGAGAAAAGTTGGGCAAGTTTCTCCACACGCCTCTGTTTACCAGCAGTATGTAGGAGCCCAGTTGTTAGTCGATTGGTGAATCGCTTTTCCAGGGGTAATAATTCCTTCAAAATAAATAAAAATAATTTTGTCACTCAATCCACGACTGAGTGACCAGGACACAGGCTGCTCAGTGACTGAGTGACCAGGACACCGGCTGCTCAGTGACCGAGTGACCAGGACACCGGCTGCTCAGTGACTGAGTGACCAGGACATAGGCTGCTCAGTGACCGAGTGACCAGGACATAGGCTGCTTAGTGACCGAGTGACCAGGACACCGGCTGCTCAGTGACTGAGTGACCAGGACACCGGCTGCTCAGTGACTGAGTGACCAGGACACCGGCTGCTCAGTGACTGAGTGACCAGGACATAGGCTGCTTAGTTGGGAGCAGAGAACGGACAGTGTAGGAGGACCAAGGCCAGATAGAGAGATCACTACATATTTGTGGAGTCGTGTAGTTCAGTGGTTAGAGCACTCGCTTTGCAAGTGAGAGACCTGAGTTCAATCCCCGGGGGGTCAGTCAGGGCCAAACCTCGGGCAAGTTTCCTTACTCCACACAGAGCCTAATAATAATCCCTCCAAAACCAAAACAATAATAAATTGGTCATTTTCAACCCACGACTGTTTGTGGGACATTGCTGTGCGCAATTGGCTGCCGCGTTCGCCCACAAATATACAGTCAATTCACTTTACAGTGTGTTCTGTGAAGCGCTTTGGGACGTCCTCTCGACGTGAAAAGCGCTATATCAAATGCAAGGATTATTATTATTATTATTATCTCTGATCAACACACGTCATCTTTTGAGCACAGTTGGTTGAATGGGTTTCTACATAATGGGTAGAAGTGGAGTCCTGTAGCTCAGTGGTTGGGCACTAAACCTGGGTTCGATTCCCAGGTGAGTCAGTTTCCTTACTCCACACACCCGCCTCTGTTTACCAGCAGTGAGGAACCCGGTCGTTACTCGATTGGTGGATCGCTTTTCTGGGGGTAATAATTCCTTCAAAAATAATAATAAATTGGTCGCTCAACCTACGACTTGTTTGTGGGACGTCGCTGTGCGCAATTGGCTGAGGTGTTTCACTCACAAAATATACAGTTAATTCACTTTACAGTATATTCTGTGAAGCGCTTTGAGACGTCTTGAAGACCCGATAAGGCCCTATATCAAAGCAAGGATTATTATTATATCAAATGCAAGTACTCAGAGGCTCAGGGAGCACAAACGAGATCTCGGTCCCAAGGTCCAAGGTCCAAGGCCGCACTCTCCACCTCTCAAAGCCATCAGGAACCTCGGGGTTCCCCTCGACCCTGAGCTGTCCTTTCTCCCTCATATCCGCACCACAACCGGCACCGCCTTCCATCACCTCCGGAACATGGCCACTCCCTCACGCGGCTGAAACTCTGGTCCACGTCTTTATCACCTCAAGGCCGGACTATGGGAACTCTCTCCTCTCCGGCCTTCCCGGCCCTCCCTCCACACTGCAGGTCATTCAGAACTCTGCAGCTCCTGTACTGTCCCTCACCAGACACCGCGCCCACATCACTCCCACCCTCACCCTCACCCTCGCCCTCGCCCTCACCCTCGCCCTCGCCCTCACTCCCACCCTCACCCTCGCCCTCGCCCTCACCCTCCCCCTCGCCCTCGCCCTCGCCCTCGCTCGCCTCCACTGTCTCCCCATCCCCCAGAGGATCGAATTCAAGATCCTCATCCTCACCTACAAGGCCATTCCCGGCCTCGCTCCCTCCTACCTCTCCGACCTACTATCGCCCCATGTACCTGCCCGTACCCTCCGTCCCTCTGGCTCTGGTCTGCTCCACATCCCCCGCCCCAACCGCCCGACCATCGGTGGCCTTCAGCCTCTCAGCCCCGAGGCTCTGGAACTCCATCCCCAGTGCCTTCGCCGCTTCCTCCCTTTCCTCCTTCAAGGCCGGTCTCAAGGCCTTTCTCTTTGACCTTCAGCCTTCAGCTCCACTCTCGACTCTCTACCCCCTCCTCACCCCCTCCCTTCCCTCCCCTCACCCTGACCATCTCCCCCCTCCTCGCTCCCTCCCTTCCCTCACTCTGACCATCTCCCCCCTCCTCGCTTCCTCCCTTCCCTCCCCTCACCCTGACCATCTCCCCCCTCCTCGCCCCCTCCCTTCCCTCCCCTCACTCTGACCATTTCCCCCCAATGCTCGGGTCCTGACCCAACTGTACAGTGCTTTGGGACGTCCTCCCGATGTGAAAGGCGCTCTGTAAATGGAATCTTGTTGTTGTTGTTGGTGTATGGCTCTCCATCCCACAGTCCCTTCACCTCCCCCTCTCCTTTACCTCCTTCAAGACTCGTCTCAAATCCCTCCTCTTCAACCACCGCACCTTTAGTCACCCTCCTACCCCCACCCTCCCCACCTCCACCCCCTCCTGATCCCAAACCCTCCTCCCCACCCCCACTCGGGTCCAAATCCCTGACTGTCCAGCGCCTTGGGACGTCCTCCTGCCGTGAAACTCGCTGTGTAAATGTCATTTGTTGATAATAATAATAATAATAATCCTTTCAGTTGATATAGCGCCTTATCACGTCTTCTCGACGTCTCAAAGCGCTTCACAGAATATACTGTAAAGTGTATTTTTGGGTGAAACACGGCGCCAATTGCACACAGCGACGTCCCACAAACAGTCGTAGTTTAAGTGACCAAAGTTATTATTATTTTGAAGAAATTATTAACCCCAGAAAAGTGATCCGCCAATGGACTAAGGACCGGCTTCATACTTACTGCTGATAAACAGAGGTGTGTGGAGTAAGGAAACTTGCACAGTGTTTGCCCGGCCCGGGATTCAAACCCTGGTCCTCTCCCGTGTGAGGTGAGCGCTCTCACCACTGAGCTACAGGGCTCAAGGTTGAAGACGGCAAAACACAAAGGATAGGTTCCAGCACCCCAGGGTGTTCCCGGCACCCCAGGGTGTTCCCGGGCACCCCAGGGGGTTCCCGGCACCCAGGGTGTTCCCGGCACCCCAGGGTGTTCCCGGCACCCCAGGGTGTTCCCGGCACCCCAGGGTGTTCCCGGCACCCCAGGGCGTTCCCGGCACCCCAGGGCGTTCCCGGCACCCCAGGGTGTTCCCGGCACCCCAGGGTGTTCCCGGCGCCCCAGGGTGTTCCCGGCCACCCAGGGTGTTCCCGGCACCCCAGGGTGTTCCCGGCACCCCAGGTGTTCCCGCACCCCAGGGCGTTCCCGGCACCCCAGGGTGTTCCTGGCACCCCAGGGTGTTCCCCGTGCGCACCCAGGGTGTTCCCGGCACCCCAGGGTGTTCCCGGCACCGGTGTGGTCCCGGCACCCCAGGGTGTTCCCGGCACCCCAGGGTATTCCCGGCACCCCAGGGTGTTCCCGGCGACACCCCAGGGTGTTCCCGGCACCCCAGGGCGTTCCCGGAACCCCAGGGTGTTCCCTGCACCCCAGGGTGTTCCCGGCGCCCCAGGGCGTTCCGGCCCCCAGGGTGTTCCCCGGCACCCCAGGGTGTTCCCGGCACCCCAGGGTGTTCCCGGCACCCCAGGGTGTTCCCGGCACCCCAGGGTGTTCCCGGCACCCAGGCGTGTTCCCGGCACCCAGGCGTGTTCCCGGCACCCCGGCATGTTCCCGGCACCCCAGGGTGATCCCGGCGCCCCAGGGTGTTCCCGGAACCCCAGGGTGTTCCCAGCACCCCAGGATGTTCCCAGCACCCCAGGGTGTTCCCGGCGGCACCCCAGGGTGTTCCCGGCACCCCAGGATGTTCCCGGCACCCCAGGGTGTTCCCGGCACTCCAGGGTGTTCCCAGCACCCCAGGGTGTTCCCAGCACCTCAGGGTGTTCCCAGGACCCCAGGGTGTTCCCGGCACCCCAGGGCTTTCCCGGCACACCAGGGTGTTCCAGGCACCCAAGGGCGTTCCCAGCACCCCAGGGTGTTCCCGGCACCCCAGGGCATTCCCGGCACCCCAGGGCGTTCACCAGCCCTCGGCACACCAGCGTGTTTCCAGCACCCCAGGGTGTTCCCGGCATCCCAGGGTGTTCCCGGCGACACCCCAGGGTGTTTCCGGCGGCACCCCAGGGTGTTCCCGGCACCCCAGGGCGTTCCCGGCGCCCCAGGGCGTTCCCGGCGCCCAGGCGTGTTCCCGGCGCCCAGGCGTGTTCCCGGCAGCCCAGGGTGTTCCGGGCAGCCCAGAGTGTTCCCGGCAGCCCAGGGTGTTCCCGGCACCCCAGGGTTTTCCCGGCACCTCAGGGTGTTCCCAGGACCCCAGGGTGTTCCCGGCGCCCCAGGGTGTTCCCAGCACACCAGGGTGTTCCCGGCACCCCAGGGTGTTCCCGGCACCCAGGCGTGTTCCCGGCACCCAGGCGTGTTCCCGGCACCCCGGCATGTTCCCGGCACCCCAGGGTGATCCCGGCGCCCCAGGGTGTTCCCGGAACCCCAGGGTGTTCCCAGCACCCCAGGATGTTCCCGGCACCCCAGGGTGTTCCCGGCGGCACCCCAGGGCGTTCCCGGCACCCCAGGGCGTTCCCGGCGCCCCAGAGTGTTCCCGGCAGCCCAGGGTTTTCCCGGCAGCTCAGGGTGTTCCCAGGACCCCAGGGTGTTCCCGGCGCCCCAGGGTGTTCCCGGCGCCCCAGGGTGTTCCCGGCGCCCCAGGGTGTTCCCGGTGCCCCAGGGTGTTCCCGGCGCCCCAGGGTGTTCCCGGCGCCCCAGGGTGTTCCCGGCACCCCAGGGTGTTGCCAGCACCCCAGGGTGTTCCCGGCACTACAGGGTGTTGCCAGCACCCCAGGGTGTTCCCGGCACCCCAGGGCGTTCCCAGTTTGCTCCAAGTACACCAGCAACACTCCCAGTGGGGTAATGGGTTGTAAGCACAACAAATAGATTACGAGCTCAGGACTGGGATCTCACTGGTCCAACACCACACACTCTTCCTGTAGCCCCACACTCCGCTGTGGGTTGGCTCCAGCTCCCCCACCCCCACTGCGTAGCATTGCACAGTCCATATGGGGCCCAGATTCACTCCCTGTGTCAAAGGTCCAAGTCAAGTTTGGTTTGGGCTGAGAACAAAGTTCATTAAATAAGGAATAAATAACAAAGCCACTCACTGGGCTCAGTGCAAAGGAACTTTTCATCAGAAAGGACAAAGGGCAATTTTAGCTGCTCCCCAAGAGAGGTTACTGCAGCCCCAGCGCCAATGGCTTGTCAGCCTCAGGGCAAAAGGACACTGTTAGCCCAGGGCTGGGCAGTGCCCACCACACTGTTAGCCCAGGGCTGGGCAGTGCCCACCACACTGTTAGCCCAGGGCTGGGCAGTGCCCACCACACTGTTAGCCCAGGGCTGGGCAGTGCCCACCACACTGTTAGCCCAGGGCTGGGCAGTGCCCACCACAGTGTTAGCCCAGGGCTGGGCAGTGCCCACCACACTGTTAGCCCAGGGATGGGCAGTGCCCACCACACTGTACGCCCAGTGACGAGCAGGACTGGCACAGTCTTCTTACAGCCTTACTTGATGGTGTTTTATTTGCCAATCTCTGGCTGAGCTGTGATCATATTCTGCTCAGTGTGACTGAAACGTCTATAGAATTTGACCAGGAGCAAAGCCTTATACCTGAATAATAATAATAATAATCCTGGCCTTTGATATAGCGCTTATCACACATTCGAGACATCCCTATCACACCCTAAACCCTGTACCCCATCACCCCCGCCCTCGCCAGGCCCCACTGGGTCCCTATCACACACTGTACCCTGTACCCATCACTCCGGCCCTCTCCAGGCTCTGTGTTAGGCTGAGAATTCCGTGCATCCCACCTACACATGGAAATTCCCAGAGATAGATTGACTGAATGGCCTCCTTCTGTGCTGTAAATGTCTCTGGGTCTCTGGTGTCTATATAGAGCCTTTCACGTCAGGAGGACATCCCAAAGTGTTGGTTGGGCGCCTGAGCTGAAGGGATGAGATCAGACGGCCAAAAGGCCTTTGTTGATCCAAACTAATCTTGTGATCTTGTGATCTTGTGATCTGGTGATCGGCACAAAATGTTTAGACTTTTACCCCTCAATATTCCCTCTTGAAGCAGCTGATTGTCACTGTGTAACAGCGCTGCTCTGACAGACGGTGGGGCTGTTGCTCACTGTAACGTTGATGGAATAATTGAGTGGTGTCATTGGGAATCACAGGGAAACAGTAATTCACATTTGATTTCTAACCCGGAGTTTCTATGTCGATTAATGACATGAAGCCCTTTGTTGGGCAGTCAGGCGGCTGTCATTCACCTCATGGTGTTGGTCCTTCACTTCACGGCTGTTTGTGGGACGTCACTGAGCCTCAATCAGCTCCCACGTTCGCCTACTAAATACACAGTCACTACACTTTACAGTGACAAATCCCGTGAAGCACTTTGAGATGTTCTCCTGATGTGAAAGACTCTGTGCCAAGTGCAAGGTTTATGATCACATTATCCACCACTGTTTGTGAGACACTGATTTGCCCAATTGGCTGCAGCGTTTCACCCACAAAACAGTCACTTTACATTATATTCAGTGAAGCACTTTGAGACGACTCGAGAGCGCTGTATCAAATGCCAGAATTATTACCATTATTATTATCATAAGCATTTTGGAAACTAATTTTAAAATGAAATGAACAAAGATCCAAACGGCTGCGGTGTTGCTGTCCGGCAGCTCACAATGTCCCGGCTCCTGGGCTTTGGGCAAACCCTGTTCTGACTTGAAATGCCCAAACCATTTCATATCACCGACCAGGAACCACACTGCAGTGACTCCCGACCACTCCCTACTTCCTATTTGCTCAATAAGTGCAGAGCTGAGAGAAGAGAAAGCTCTACTGACTGACGGAGTGTAACCAGCACCGGCTGCTCAGTGACTGAGTGACCAGGACACCGGCTGCTCAGTGACTGAGTGACCAGGACACCGGCTGCTCAGTGACTGAGTGACCAGGACACCGGCTGCTCAGTGACTGAGTGACCAGGACACCGGCTGCTCAGTGACTGAGTGACCAGGACATAGGCTGCGGTCAGGATGCAGACAGCACGACTCGGGGTAGTTGCTCTTTGCTGCTGTGTGTGTGTGGGTGAGTCTCACTTTCTCACTCGCTCTCAGTTGGGAGTTTATTTAAGATGATCTAACGATAGAGACAGGAGAACTTGCTCACCGCGTCCCTACAAGAGATGCCGTCAGTCAGGACGGACTGTGTCGATGTGTATTCAGCCGATGTCTCGCTGTCCTTAATGGGATTTTCTCTCTCTCCAGTTACAGCACAGTTCACCATCACTGTACCAGACAATCCCATTACAGCAGCAGCCGGAGGTACGGCTGTGTTTACAGTGAAACCGTCTGGTGAGGTGAAGACCGGGACCTGGAGTATCGGCCGTGTGGTTTTTGTTACTTGGTTTCCAGGAGGAGAAAGCATCGACCCTGGTTACAAAGACCGGATTGTGTTCACAAGGACCTCTGGGTCTCTGCAGCTAAACTCTGTGAATTATACTGACGCTGGAGATTACACTGTGACCATGTTCTCACCCTCTGACACTCAGGCAACAGCCACAATCACACTGAAGGTGGTGGGTAAGTAACAGTGCATTTAACAATAAACTATCTATGTACCTTTCATGTCCCCAGTTATTGTCACTGAGCTTCAGAAGAAAATTAAAATGAATATCTTCGCGCAAAATGTTTTATATCCGGACAAATGGATGAGGTGCTCCTGATCTAATGGTTCAATTTCTATTTTTGTTTCTTCTCTCTAAAATTCACTTCAACTGAAATATAGTTTTTTGGCACACGTGGCCACTTGTAACTCGCATAAGTAGCCATTATTCGTGATTTCATGGCGCGCTCGACTCGCAAGTGAGAGCACTTGGGTTCGATTTCCATACGAGGCAAAATCTTAGGTAAATTTCCTTACTCCACACACATACACACCTCTGTTTAATTGGCAATAAGTAGGAACCCGCTTGTTGGTCGATTGGTGGATCGCTTTCCAGGAATAATAATCCGTCCCTTTCCAAATAAAATTGTACACTCAATCCACGACTGTTTGTAGGACACTGTTGCGTGCAATTGGCTGCTGTGTTTAACCCACAAAATACGCAGTATATTTACTTTACAGTATATTCTGTGAAGCGCTTTGAGATGTCATAACCATGTGATGAGGTGCTGTATCAAATGCAAGGTTTATTATTATTATTATGAGCAAAATGGTAAAACAAAGGACAGTATTTGTCTACTCCAATCCATTGCTCATAGAATAGTATGGAATCATAGAATATTACAGCACAGGAGACCATTCGGCCCACATTGCCCTCATGTTACATTAAATAATAATAATCCTTGTATTTGATATAATGTCTTACCACATCATTAAGAGATTTCAAAGCGCTTAGAATACATTAGAATATACAGCACAGGAACAGGCCATTCGGCCGGACTGGTCTTTGCCGGTGTTTATGCTCCAAATGAGCCTCTTCTGCCCTTCCTCAGCTAAGCCTTCAAGCAGAACCTTCTATTCCTTTCTCCCTCATATACCAATTTGCTTCCCCTGAAATACATCTGTGCTGTTGTCTCAACAAATAGTGCTACATAGGAATTATTGTAAAGTGTATTTGTAGGCCATGTGCTGCCACTTTGGACACAGTAACATCACAAACAGTGTGAATCAAGTGACCAATTTTTTTGGAGGATTGTTGGCTGCGATATCAGGAGAAATTCCCTTCTCTTTTCAAACAATGCTACGGGATCTTTAACATCCATCTGTACAGACAGAGCAGACTGGAGTGGAGTGTCAGCCCACACCATGAGCTGATGTTGGGCTCTTTGAGGGACAACAATTTGTTCATATCGTGAATCATCACCAAGAATACGAGAGCCAAGAATGTTCATTTACACTCAGGTGGAGTGTATCGTTGCTGATGGGTTTAATTTTCCGTAATCTATGGTTATAATTTTTGAGAATCAACCTCAACAGACATGAATTTGGAATGAGTGTGGAATAAATTATTATAAAGAAAAGATCCTTGCATTTGATACAGCGCCTTATCATGCCTTCAAGACATTTCAAAGTGCTTTATAGAATATACTGTGAAGTGTAGTGACTGTGTGTTTTGTAGGCGAAAAGCGGCAGAAAATTGTGCAGAGCGACATCCCACAAACATTTGTGGATTGAGTGACTATATTATTATTATTTATTTTTTGAAGGGATTATTACCCCCAGAAAAGCGATCCACCAATCGACTAACAACCGGGTTCCTACTCACTGCTGATAAACAGAGTCGTGTGTGTGTGTGTGTGTGTGTGGAGTAAGGAAACTTGCCTACGGTTTCGTCCTGACCGAGAATCAAACCCCGGTCCTCTCGCTTGCGAGACGAATGCTCTAACCACTGAGCTACAGGACTTGAGCAAGAGTTGATTATCACAGTATCATAGAATCATACAGCACAGAAAGAAGCCATTCGGCCCATCGCATCTGTGCCGGCTCCTAAAAGAGCAATCCAGCTCAACCCCACTGGCCCACTTTCTCTCCATAGCCCCGCAATCCTGTCCTCCCCAAATACCCATCTATTTTCTATGTAGTGACTGTAGCCTCTCCTTAAGCTCAGTGACCCTGAGTTCAAGCTCAAGCAGCCGGAGGCACTTACTACACGTGTTTGTCCAGAACACATGAACCATCCTGGAGATCCCACATGGCACACAGTTTGCACGGAATGGGTCTGACACATGTGGAAACCCATCACCGTGTTTAAGATGATCTGAGATGGTAATGTCAGACCCATTTCGAAAAACTTTCAAAATACTCTAAAGATCAAAACGAGTACATGCACGAAGACTGTGCCAATACTTATCAATAATAATATAATATATAATAATGTAGTATTATTGATGTGTTTAGCCCAAGTGATTACAAGTGGAGTCCTGTAGCTCAGTGGTTAGAGCACTCGCTTTGCAAGTGAGAGACCTGAGTTCAATTCCCGGCAGAGGGCGAAACCTTCTGCAAGTTTCCTTACTCCACACAGAGCCTAATAATAATCCTCCAAAACCAAAAACAATAATAAATTGGTCATTTTCAATCCACGACTGTTTGTGGGACATTGCTGTGCGCAATTGGCTGCCGCGTTCGCCCACAAATATACAGTCAATTCACTTTACAGTGTGCTCTGTGAAGCGCTTTGGGACGTCCTCCCGACGTGAAAAGCGCTATATCAAATGCGAGGATTATTATTATTAATACAACCTAAGAGATTAGGAACTAGAAAAAATCAGGGAATATATCAATCTACTAATTGAATGCAGATGTGTGGGACAATGTAAAATAAATATAGTTCTTATAATCGTCGGTGCAACTTGGAGCACTAATAAGACTATTCAAAAATAGCTCAACACAGCACCTGATGAACAAAATATCAGCAACGCTGCAAAAGGGAGTTAATTTAGGAAGTTGAAACATCAAACAAAAGTAACATCAATGGCAGTGTTATTGGTCTGGCCGACCATCACTGAAAACCATTTAGAAATGACCATGAAGTGCTTTGTCAGGCTGTTCAGCACTCCGAACGCTATCCCGTGGGAAGGGCGCTGTTTAATGCAATTTGTTGTTGTTGTTGTGATTATTTGTTGGTGAACACAGCAGGAAAGTTATTGCTCGCGATCTTGCTGATTAATAAAGATAATATGGACAGTTATGATTTAGTTACAAATACTGTTTTGGAATATTTTAGATTGACACCAGAATCATATTGTAAATGCTGTAAATGCAGAAAGTACACATTTGGTTGGGATGAAAAGCAGATCTATTTTCTCTCGGATGAGCCGTGTTGTTGCCGACAGGAACACACCGATCACTGAGGTTTCATGGCCAAATCACTTGATGGCCTGAGACCTCTCCAACTTGCTCACACCTCACACCTCTTCCCAGCCCTTTCGCTTGGTTTGCTCAGGCCTTGTGCACATCCCCTGACCCTCTGCTCCACCTTCAGCCACTTTGCCCTGAGCCCCTGGAACTCCCGGCCTCACCCTCTCCGCCCCTTGCTCCTCTTTCCTCTTTACACCAAGCGCTCCGGGACGCTTCCCCACGTGAGGAGCGCTGTATCAATGCAAGTTGTTGTTGTTGTTAATCGTCTTCAAATCCCACCTGAAGGCTTTCCTCTTTGACGGTGCCTACGGTCCACTCCCCTTTCTCCCCGTCTCAGCCCAAACTCTGCCAACGCTGAGACACTGCCCCACAGGAAAGTCTCTGTATAAATGCAAGTTGTTGTTGCTGATGTTTTAAGTGATTTGAGTTTCCAACAAACTGTTGTATTTTACACAGAATGTGATGCACAGAATGTAAATACTCTCCTGTGTTTTGACAGAATCTGTTTCCAATATTGCTGTTACCCCAATGTCACGCAGTCAGTAGAATATAATGACACTGTGGGGCTGACGTGCACTGCATCAGGGACAGACGTGTCATATCAATGGTTGAAAGACAATAAAACTATCAGCTCTGACAACAGGACTGTCCTAAGTCTGGATAACAAACCCCTGACTATAGCTGGAGTACTGAGGGCTGACAGTGGGAATTACACGCACTGGGCCTACAACACCGTTAGTAACGACACAAGCCATCCATTTTATCTCAATGTCAACTGTAAGTGTCACAGTAAAAGCAGCTTCAATGTTATATTTTTGTAAATGATTTTTATAATCTTGGTTAATGTTATGCAATATTTGTTTCCGCAAACATTATACGCTCCGTATCCATTTTGGACCATACAATCGATTCCTTTAACAAACACTGAATTTGATCAGATTTAACAAAAATTTATAAAAGCACCAAAATGTAAAAGAATATCCAGCATTAAACTCTGAAATGAAACTATTTTTATTACGAATTTCAATCTAAACCATTATAAAAGTATTAGATTTGAATTCTGTTTGAATCACTACAAACTTTCATTTGTACCAACAGGTGAAAGCACTGGTCCACTCCTGAAATAAATACCATAATAATTGAATTGATGAACAATGAAAAAAGTCCTACTAAATTGGTACTCAATTAAAATATAGGAGTAGAAATCCCCCCTTGGGTCTGGACTTGTCTATTGTAATATTATTTCACAGCAAATAGAATTAAATTCTTAAATTGTGTCCATTGAACTACAGAAACTGGGAAAGTTTCTGCTGGCTCTGAAATGCTAAATAATACCTCAGTGGAATTTCAGGGGACAGAATTGATTTTATATATTAAACAACTATTATTATTACACATTATAACAGACAGGTTTTATTAATAACTGTCTCCTTTTGTTTGCACAGTTTTGGTGTTCAGGCTCATCGTGACCTTTAGTGCTGGTGATGGGCTGTACGTTAGATAGTTTTAGACTTGTGATTTATATGATGTTACAAATGATGTGCATTTGTTCTGGATGGACCAGGATTACCCAATGTGTCCATCATCCCGGATAAAATATTATACAGTTCAGGAACAACTGTTAAGTTCTTGTGCTCCGTGGACTCAAATCCAGCCTCTGAATTTCAGTGGTTTCACAATGGTGCCTCTCTTCAACAAAACGGTCAACAAATAATCATTA